CCGCAACCTCCACCTCCTGGGTAGCAATTCTCCTGCCTTAGCCTCCCGAGCAGCTGGGACCACAGGCATGTGCCACCATGCCCAGCCAATTTTTGTATTTTTAGTAGAGATGGGGTTTCACCACGTTGACCAAGATAGTCTCGATCTCTTGACCTTGTGATCCACCCGCTTCAGCCTCCCAAAGTGCTGGGATTATAGGTGTGAGCCACCATGCCTGGCCGCGAGGATAATTTTTGTATTAATTTTTTTTTTCTACAGAGTTTTGCTCTTATTGCCCAGGCTGGAGTGCAATGGCACTATCTCAGCTCACCACAACCTTCACCCACCGGGTTCAAATGATTCTCCTGCCTCAGCCTCTCAAGTAGCTGGGATTACAGGCATGCGCCACCATTCCTGGCTAATTTTGTATTTTTAGTAGAGATGGGGTTTCTTCATGTTGATCAGGCTGGTCTTGAACTCCAACTTCAGGTGATCCACCCACCTCGGCCTCCCAAAGTGCTGGGATTACAGGCGTGAGCCACAGCGCCCAGGTTTTACCAGGTTGCCTAGGCTGGTTGCGACTCCTGAGCTGAAGAAATCTGCCTGCCTCAGTCTTCTAAAGTGCTGGGATTACAGGTGTTAGCCACCGAGCCCGGCCAACTTTCCCTTTTTTAGGTTAATGAGTTTATGTCTGTTATATGCAACCTAAGATGTTTTACTCAACTGATAATAATTTCACCAAAAAGGTAGCATAGAATAATTCTCTTGCTGGAGACTGGAAATCTATTCTCAAGAGCTATTGAGAGTGGGAAAGGTAATACAGCTTACTTGACCAAGCTTTTTCCTGTATTGAGAAGCCATATACCCGGAAGTCCTCTTTCCTCTTCCTGAACACAAGTCCGGCACTTACTTTCTGTTTGGCCAGTCTTAAGCCTTTCCTCTACCTCAAGATTTTTTTTTTCTGTTTTTTTGACGGAGTCTCACTCTGTCACCCGGGCTGGAGTGCAGTGGCATAATCTTGTTTCACTGCAACCTCTGCCTCCTGAGTTGGAGTGATTCTCCTGCATCAGCCTCCCAAGTAGCTGGGATAACAGGTGTGTGCCACCAAACCTGGATAATTTTTGTATTTTTAGTAGAGATGAGTTTTGCCATTTTGGCCAGGTTGTTAATCCATCTGCCTCGGCCTCCCAAAGTGCTGGTGTTACAGGAAGGGGGTCCCAATCCAAACCCCAAGAGAGGATTCTTGGATCTCGCACAAGAAAGAATTCAGTGCAAGTCCATAAAGTGAAAGTAAGTTTATTAAGAAAGGAAAGGAATAAAAGTGGCTACTCCATAGACAGAGCAGCCCCGAGTGCTGCTGGTTGCCCTTTATGGTTATTGATGATATGCTAAACAAGGGGTAGATTATTCATGCCTCCCCTTTTTAGACCATATAGGGTAACGTCCTGTTGATGCCATGGCGTCTATAAACTGTCCTGGTGCTGATGGGAGTGTAACAGTGAAGATGACCAGAGGCCACTCTTGTTGCCATCTTGTTTTTGGTGGGTTTCGGCCGGCTTCTCTACTGCAACCTGCTTTATCAGCAAGGTCTTTATGACCTTTATCTTGTGTCAACCTTCTATCTCATCCTGTGACTTGGAATGCCTTAACTGTCTGGGAATTCAGCCCTGTAGGTTTTAGTCTTATTTTACTCAGCTCCTAGTCAAGATGGAGTTGCTCTGGTTTACACGCCTCTGACAGTGGATTACAGGTGTGAGCCACCGCACCTGGCCTACCTCAAGATTTTTGTTGGTTTGTTATACATATGCTGTTATTTTCATTCATATTCTATGATCCTCCTCCCTTTTCCTAATGCCCATGAATAAAAGGCTATGTCTCTTGTGTTATTTTTACATTATTCAAAAAATTTTCTGACAAATTTGTTTTTGGAATACATCCTGTATGTTCACAAGCATTACTACAGAGGGCAGACCTTCCTCAGACGGGTGATGTGTAATGTCAAAAGTTTAAAATCCGGATCTTGGCTGGGTGTGGTGGCTCACCACTGTAATCCTAGCACTTTGGGAGGCTGAGGTGGTGGATTGCCTGAGCTCAGGATTTCGAGACCAACCTGGGGAACACTGTGAAACCCTGTCTCTACTAAAAATACAAAAAATTAGCCGGGCGTGGTGGCATGCACCTGTAATGCCATCTACTCAGGAGGCTGAGACAGGAGAAACACCTGAACGCGGGAGGTGAAGGTTGCAGTGAGCCAAGGGTTGCAGTGAGCCTAGATCGTACCACTGCACTCCAGCCTGAGCAACACACTGAGACTCTGTCTCTATAATAATAATAATAATAATAATATATCAAATCAAATCTGGATCTCATATATCAAAACTTCCTCAGAAGTTATTCTTATGTTTAATTGTGAACATGATAAACAGGCTTTCAAAGCGAGAAGCTTTTCGCCTCTTGAAAGCCCTTTAACATGTAGGATCTGCTCAGCAGGCCTCAAAGACAATAAAGTTAAAATGTAATGACCATAAAAAGGAAAAGGTCCACACAAATGGCAGAACTGCACGGGTAGTAGAGTCTATGCTGTTTACTCCCACGTAGAATGGAAAAGCTGAAAAGCTTTCTGTTATAGATTGAATTGTGTTCCCAGATTCACATGTTGTTGTCTTAACACCTCAGAAGTGATAAAATTGAAATGAAGTCAATTAGGATGGGCCCTAATGCAACCTGACTGGTGTGCTTATAAAAAGGGGAAATTTGGACATAGACAAGTGCATAGAAGGAAGATGTGCGGAGACAGAGGGAGATTAGCCTAATCAAAAAGTTCACATTGAAGAAATGGAAAACTGGCTCTCACGACCAAGTTGATTTAGCATAAAAACATAATTGATAGTGAAGGTATAAAGTGTAAAACCATCATTTAAACCTCTCCTTTGTCATTCACAGCTTCCTTGCTTCAGAATTGCAATGGAAGATTTTCCTACTGGTTAGAATTCCACTGAGATGGTATAGAATTTGGGTCTGGGGAAATGTTTTTGTGGTCTCCTTAAACCAGCTGTTGTGATTTTATTGTTTGTGAGTTAATTAGAACAAAGAGATTTTCTTTAAAACAAAGATATAACAACTAGCAGACATTTATAAATGTCTTTTATAAATAATAAGCTTCTCAGAATCACTCACTTCTATGAAACCCAAAATGAAAATACTCCTTTATATCAAGAAGAGGAACTATAAGCTTTATGTTTATCATGAATGAATGAACAAACTGTGGAAGTTAGATTTACTATTTACTATAGTCGGTGTTTCAGACAACATACTGCTTATGCTTACTACTAACCAGAATTCTTATTCTGTAAAACGTCTTTTTTTTTTTTTTTTTACACGTTGGTGGTAACAAAAACCCGTCTTTTGATAGTTTTCTAGTCAATGTATTGTCTGCTCTATAAATACAATTTCTTCTTCTTCTTCCTTTTTTTTGTATTTTTTTTTTTTTTTTTTTTGAGACGGAGTCTCGCTCTTGTTACCCAGGCTGGAGTGCAATGGCGCGATCTCGGCTCACCGCATCCTCCGTCTCCTGGGTTCAGGCAATTCTCCTGCCTCAGCCTCCTGAGTAGCTGGGATTACAGGCACACACCACCATGCCCAGCTAATTTTTTTATTTTTAGTAGAGACGGGGTTTCACCA